AAATGTCTGCAAAGCATCTGTTTCACAGAAGAAATGTTACTCTGTGAATAAGTTCTAAAAACTTTGCCATAAATAATTCATGTCAGCAGTTCAAGTTCTATTATCAGTCCCCATCCTTCAGTTGGTTATTTGCAGACAGAGAAGCAAAGTTTTTTTCTGGTTTAAGTTGTCCAGCATTTGAAACAGTTACTTGTATAATTATACACTTACATATATCACCACCCTATTTTTCAGTTTAACAAAACAACTTTGATAGAAGCCTGGGTTAAAAACTGCACATAATGATGACATCATATTCTGCTTTTAGGGAAAACGCATTAAATGTATACTCGGTTTGTGAGAGTATATGTATACATAAAACACTTAGTGGAACTTTACACTTTATTAGAGATGTATCAACTAAAGAGAAGATTTTAACAGCAGTAATAAAAAAATATTTAAAAAATCCTTAAGGTACTTAGAGTAAAGCATGTGAGGTCACTACATTTAAGAAGTAATAATAAGCATCTGTGCTAGATATCCACATGATTAATAAAGAATGGTTTTTTTTTTTAAATCACGTGTGACAAGATTTGAAAGTAAAAGTCAGGAAGCCTTCATTTTGAAACAGGAAAGTTAATTAAATGTATTATATTATTTAATATAATAACTATAAAATATAGTTATAAAATATAATTTGCTGTGTACAAATATGGAAATCTGAATTGAAGTATAGACCCATACTGGCTCCATCATAAAGTTGAAACAGCATGATTAATACACTGCCTATGTACAAGTACGATGTTATTTATGAAGTGATTTTAAACTTTATTTTAGAACACCTTTCCCATTTTGGGTCAAAATACTGTAGCCTCCAATTTTCAGTATATTAGCAGTGCAGACTTCTGAGAGCAGTTTGCTATGGGGGGCATTACAATTTCACCTATTCAACTCATAAATCACTTCCCCAAATTCTTTTAAGGCAGCTTGAAAAAAACAGATACAAAAAAATAACTTGTTATAAACATTGGAAAAACTGCCTTTAATCACAAATGTTGCCCAAATACAAAAGTCTACAAGTTGCTCAAAGTGTAATTTTAGATGAATATGTTTTCTTTGTGAACCGTCCAGTCATTTATTTAATAGAATAAGTAAATAAATTTTAATTTACACAATTTAAAACCAACGTAGGTTCTTTTGCCTACATTTTCTTTTTACTAATAATCCATGCTTACCAAGGGTAATTGGAGCCAGGAATCTGTCACTATGCGATATATTCATAAAGTATTATATCACTGCACCACCTGCAACAACAGAGCTGGCTGTCCTAATGGTCGTTGTTTGGTAAATCCTTCACAGTCACAGTGTCCGGCATTCCCATGTTCAACATATGCAACCTCCTGCCAGCTCCCATTGACTTTGCTTATGGAACACTGGCAGGGAAAGCCACCAATGGCAGTTGTGGTACTGCAAAACACTGTGGCATCTTCATTGCAAGCCACTTCCCGAATGTTCAGATCATGATTAAGTGACCTTGGGGATGTTGTAATAGTGTAACAGCCACAGCTAAAAGGACCAGTCATAAGTATGCCTTGTTTGGCACTATTGCAACTTTGGACAGTCGCTGAGCAAGTCAATGTTAAAAGAGGATTACTATCTGGAACAGATGCAAGATGTCCAGTAACAACCAGAACTTTACAAAGGCTTTTGCCGATGCTTTGAATTGTCTGAAGGCTTGGAAAGTAAACATTTTAAGAAGAGTGGAAAAAAGTTACTGTCCAGGTGTTCACACATTTCCTCCCTAAATCATACACTTAGTGTAAACTTTGTTAAGAGATTTTACAGAGATTATAAGAATACTAATGCTGCGGTTTCTGGTTACTCCAAATCTAATTCTATTTGGATCCACTGATCTATAAGAGAAAGTTTGGGAATCCTGGTTTTGAAATAGCTGGTTGCTAATCATGTGTAAACTTTGCTTGTTCTTTTGCTATTTTATTGTCAAAGGACTAAACATGTTCTACTCATTTTGAGAAAAGCTAAATATTTGAGTGCATCCAGAATAACAGAGTTGGAAGGGATCTTGAAGATCTTCTAGTCCAAGCCCCTTTTTAGGCAGGAAACCCTATACACGACAATTTTTTTTTAGAATAGAATAGAGCTGGAAGGGATCTTGGAAGTCTTCTAGTCCAGCCCCCTGCTCAAGCAGGAGAACCTATACCATCTCAGAAAAGTGATTGTCCAGTCTCTTCTTAAAAATCTCCAGTGATGGAGCGTCCATGATTTCTTGAGGCAAGCTGTTCCACTGATCAATTGTTCTGCCAGGAAATTTCTCCTTAATTCTAGGTTGATTCTCTCCTTGATTAATTTCCTTCTATTGCTTCTTGTCCTGCCTTCAGGTGTTTTGAAGAATAGGTTGAATCCGTCTTCTTTGTGGCAACTCCACAAAGTAGTATTGAAACACTGCTATCATGTCACCCCAGTCATCATTCTTTTCATTGAACTAAACATACTCAATCCCAGCAACCGTTCTTTGTATGTTTTAGTCTCCCGTTCCGTAATCATCTTTGTTGCTCTTCTCTGTACTCTTTCTAGAATCTTAACATCTTTTTTACATTGTGGCAACCAAAATTGGATGCAGTATTCTAAGTGTGGTATTACCAAGGCATTATACAGTGGTATTAACACTTCGTGTGATCTTGATTCTATTCCTCTGTTAATGCATCCTAGGACTATGTTGTCTTTTTTGGCAACTTCAACACACTATTGGCTCATATCATTAAGTATGCCTCTTATAATGCATATTGTTAATAATATGAATATAATGCATATTATTAAGTATTATTAAGTATCTGTTGAACATACAAAGCACAATAACACAAGGTATTTGTAAATAACCTTTGCTCATAGTCAGGCAGTATAAAAATATCTTGCAATGAAAACTGTAGGAAGGAAAGCTGCAATTCAAATAAGAATGCTTTCACTATTAACATTTGTTCAGGGATAACAAAAGCTACCTTCAATGACTACATTTGGAGACAAATTTTGCACTATCTGTCTTTATGAAAGGAATAAGTATTTTTTAAACAAAACACACTCCATTTTACTTCATTTTTCTCAGAGGTGTCAGCCTTCACATCAAGAAATTCATCTACATGCATTTAAACATCAAAATGGGCCTCATGCAGTCTGATTACTTTTTGCTCTGAATAAAGGAAGTTTTTAAATGTTTTCCAAAAAAACATTGCTTATTCTATGTTTTATCACATAGCTTAATCACAGAGGTATCCTATTAAAGCTAAAAATCATTGTGAAGACAACTGGAAACTTTAATAGTAAATCTATTGCAATTTCCTAATAAGTATGCAAAATTGACCATTGTATCCTGTTAAAATCTGACTATCCCATATACAGTACATGCATTTCAATGTCTCCTCATTAGCTGACATAAACACAGAAAAAGAAAAGAAAGGTACAATCCATAGTGACTTTATTGTACATTGTCTGAGATCACTTGTATAGATTCACATCCAATCAAGCTGCCGTAATAAGCTACAAAAGGCAGAATTGATTAAAAATGGCCCCAAAGCTAGAAAAAGACTGACAGAAGTATTGACCCATCTCTGTGTAACATAAGGAACGAAATGCGCTATATTAGCCTGAAAGCTTCTTGTTCATCTCTTGTTTTGGCGTGAAATATGCAGCTTGAATAGCTGAGACAGAATTCCAGGAGGTTGGAGTTACCTTCTTTTGGCATCTCTTCTTCACTATCACATCTGATTAATTCTTAGTAAGCTTTTGCTCCATTAAAGCTGGCAACTCTATAATTTCCCTAAAACCCACATTTCTACAAAAATGGTGCCAATATTTATTATTTGCCCCAAATATACCTCAAAAACTTTACTGCAAAACATGCTACAAAGAATGATGCTTGGGCTGTAATCTGTACAATTGCTTTATGATTTAATCAAGATTAACTCTTCCTAGAAAAAAATAGTTTCAAGAAATTAGAATTCTAAGAATTAAGCACGTTAGCATAGGAATTATCAGATAAAAAATTGGATCAAAGGTCAGTTAAGGCAGGCATGCCCAACCCTTGGCCTACGAGCCGTATGTGGCCTTGCACAGCTACTAATGTGCCCCACAAAATCATAAACCTTTAAAGAAAATTTGTAATTTATATACCTTAACTATAATGCATATTTTATATGCAGTCCAAGACAATTTCTCTTCATTCAGTGCATTGAAGGCAAGCTGAAAAGTTAGACACTCATGAGTTAAGGATTGTATGTATACTTCAATATGGCACATTCTAGCTGGAAGAGGAGCCATGTGTGAAAATGAGAGTGTTGTTCTTAGATCTTCTTAGTCCAGTTGGGTCCACGTTTAACCCACGATCAACAGTGTGTATTCAACCCAGCCACTTTTTGGTGATCTTTAGACCCTCTTTTGGTTGTACTATTAAAAACCAGCAGCAGACCCTTAAGCAAGACCAATTTTTGTACAGTAATACAGTAAAAACAGTATTAAGCCTTGTATAGAAAAGCTGTTTTTCAGAAATGCAAAATCACCTAGTAAAAAAGAGCCAAAAATTCCCCCTTCAATAAATGTAAGATGCAACATTCAATTAACATGACAAGGATCCAGAATTCAGCTCTACTGCTGGCTGCTTTGCATAAACTATACAGAATGACTGGTAGGCCCTGTGTGAGGAAAGGAGTGTACTATGACATGCAGAGACATCCATTCCCCAAAGTAAACATCACTCATATAAAGTATAATAGTTTACAGTTAAGTTCCACAGAACTACTAGCCAGAAGTTAAAAATAGTGTTGTCGAAGCATGGGGATCACTTTCAAATGTTTACATTCTATTTGCCACTTGGGAAGTGGGTTGGAGAGGAAGACCACTTATAAAACTATTACAGAAAGTAAGATTGCAACCATCCTGTTTCCATTTGTTTTTTAGACTCTGCAAAAACCGCAGCGGAATTCTATTCAAAATGAGCACAGTTTCCTTACCTCTCTAAGATGGATGTTTTCCTTCTCTTTCTGGTCTAAGATCACTTCTAAATGATTAACCTGAGATTCCGCTTCTGCCATCCTCCGAGTTCTTTCGTTTTCATCATCCATTCCTTTGGATGGCAGCCCTTTGCTTTGCAACATTTCTAGAAGCTTTTTGATGGATTCATCTCTGGCATTCAGCGTCTGCTTTTGGGTCTCTATTCTCAGCTCCATTTCTTCCAAGGTTTTTCTCAAGAGAAACAACTCTTTTGCCTGCCTGTCATGCTCAGCTTGAAGCCTTCGGAAATTCTCCTCCGTCAGTTCAATCGTAAAATGCTCAGCACCTCGGTTACCACTTTCTTGCTGAAGGAGATGGTTAAGGTCCCTCTGGGTTCGAAGTTCATCTTGGAGCGCCTGGATTGTTAGCTGAAGATGCTGCAATGAAAAAGAAACTTCTAAGTAAAGATTTGATTAAAGAAGTAACACTCCAAACATTAGTAAAATTTCTGGTGAGAATCTACACATGAGAGTGATAGTATTTGTTATGATGCTTCTTGGCTGCAGTTAGAAACCATAGAGAGAGAGATGAATGAAAAACACAAACAGTACAAATTACACATACTACCCAGAGTGAACCACAAATCTTATGACAAGGAGGTGAAAAGAGCAGTGTTAAAAATGTAAATGTTAAAGACTAGCATTCCATAACCAAACACTGTATCTAAAAAGCCTTAGAAATCAGGTTTGGTTGGGGGTGTAGGAAGGAAGAGAAGCTTAGACATTTTCATACAGTGCAACTGTGCAAGTGATTAGTGCTAATCACGCCCGTATGAAAGTAAAGGGGTTAAACTGTTGGATGAGGTTGCTAATGAAAGCTATGAGCCACTTTATTAAGCAGGATTGTTGCAGCTACCAAGATAAGCATATCAAAATCACACATTAAGAAATGCTACATTTTGCAAACAAAACTGATTGCAAAAAGTGAACAAACCTTTGTTTTCCTGGCATCCAAAACCTGAACAGCATGAGAAATGGAAAAAAAATGAAGCAAAATCAACATAAAGTTTAAATGCAAGCCAAAGCGATTCAACCAAAAGAACTAAAACTCACTTAAAGCATCCCCAGCAGAAAACAAAAACAGTATTGGCTTATGCAGTAGCATTACAATTTCATAATATTAGCACATGCACCCGCCCCTTCATGCAATCAAAAATGCAGTTTTGCACACAGGACCAAAAGAACTTGAGTTGGATTCAAAGTCTCCAACTTGGATAACTCAAAAATCATCTCCAGCAGTGTTGTGCACATGCCCTTGATAATGCTAATGGATAAATCTGTAATCATCGTTCCTGATTTGTCTAACTGTGACAACTTGCAACAGACAGGGGCATCTGTGAGGATGGGGAATCAGAAAAGTCAAGATGGGGGAGTGACTGCACAGCTGAAGAAAAGCAGAGCTTTCAACTACAGAGCTACAACTGCCATCTTCACTTTTATCCCACCCCACAAATGTCCCATTTACAGGTGAAAAAATGTTTTTGAATCTTATTTTGCTTTTCCATGCGGCATATTGTGTCTAGTATGCACAAGACACTTTTAGGATCCAGAATTGCAACTTTGGATTCAAGTTATAATTTATGCATTGACCAAATTATTTAGTCTTGGTACCAATCTTCATCTATATTAAATTCAATCTGGTATTTGTTCCTACAGTACCATCTCAAAATACATGTGTTGGGTTGAATGTTCTTCCTTCACAAAAAGAGCCGGCATGTCACATAATCATATTAAATACTGGCATATAAACACTGAACATCAATTATAAACAGGATTTATTTTCATGTTAGCTATGTTTCTAGACTTCGCAGTCTTGGATTGTATTTTACATACTGTATACAGTACTTATTGTTTAAAATTAACTTTCATGTTTAAGAATTGATTATACAAATTAGATTATATGATGAGGCTTTATACACTGAAGTGTAGTTTTGAAAAATGTGCATATGTGTTTATTGTCATCTACTGAATATATATTAGTCCCAGCTTAGACTTTGGAAGATCCCAAAACTCATGCAGTTCTATTATATTTTATTGCTGAACACTAAGGGTAGAAATTGCATCTGAAACCAAAGCTACTGTTAATTTGTTTAAAGATTAATATCTGCTGTTGCTTAATCAATTCCCAAAGCCAGCTGGCAATTACATAAAACCTTTCTGTTATTAGGAAAAATAAGGCAAGTACAGCAGAAATAAAAGGAACATCCTCTCCGCCTCCCAGCCATTATCTGGTTAAATGGCAGAACACAATTATAGACAAAATTACTAACAGAATTCCATTTCCAGAATGTACTACATTCTGTTTTTCACTATTAACCTTGGTTGAAAAAAATTCTAAACCAATCTGAGGGGTCACTCAAAGAAGTATATATTCCTCCCATCAAGGTACTTTGTTTTTCTGTACTCCGTCCCCTCTGTCCCCTCCATACATAAACACATACACAAAGATCCTTAGGATGACACTGAACATACTTAGGCAGACATTAAATGATGCAACATGGTTTCCAGGTATCCAAAATAATTGATGAGACTAGTCACAAAAAAAAATCTATTTTAGAGAAAAACAACTTAAGGAAACTAAAAGGTAAGTCATTTGACTGAGATGATGAATATAAGAACATAGAATAATAGTGTTGGAAGGGATCTTGGAGATCTTCTAGTCCAATCCTAGGTTCAAGCAAGAGAACCTGTATCATTCCAGACAAATGTTTGTTTACTCTTTTCTTAAAAACCTCCAGTGATGGAACATCATAACTTCTAGAGATAAGCCTTTCTGTTGATAATTGTTTCCACTGTCAGGAAATTTCTCCTAGAGTGGATTTCTTTATCCTGCCTGTGTTAGTTCTTATTCATTTAACGTTCCAGGTTGGAAAGGGCGGGGGGACGGAAGTTAGTAAATTTATTTACAGTATTTATTTATTAAATTTATATGCCATCCATATCGCTGTCAGGATATTCTGGGTGGCATACAACATCATGCAAGCAAATATGGAATCATTAGAGTTTTAAAATATTGAATGTTAAAACTATGGCAGATGTAGGCTTTGATTGCAATGTTCAAAATCATTCCTTCAAACGTTTTTAGTAACATTTCCTTCCTCATTTACACATTTATTCCACACTCTGCCATTCCTGGCACATAGTATATGTATGCATAAGCTTCACTCTTAGCTTAGTTATCTATGGATATAGATTTTTTATATCCCTACATACCAGCATACACAAAAATCCTTTCTAGAAAAATATAAGGGTGTACACACAAATGTTACATTTATTCAAAATAATTGTGGAGGGGGTGGATATTCTCCCAAATTAGCCATGAAGTGGAGGAAGTATGTTTTAACTTCACTGTTAAATTGAGTAACCGAATGATGAGTATGAACAATAAAAGTAAGTGGCTGAAGGAGACAAGAGAGAAGAAAAAGCTACTTCATTTCAAGAGGGACAGGGAGAGAGATAACTAATCTCACACCGTCTGACTTTTGCAAAGAAAATAACAGAAAGATGTAATAATACAAAGAAATCATTGAATGGGTTGTTTCAAGCAGTTGAATTGAAGAATACTGACTTTACCTTCCACTTGTCAACTTTTCTCATTTAGAGGTTCACTTCATGGAGAGATCCCTCCATCCATGGAAAATTTCCGTGCAAATCAGGACTCAAGAGGAGGTTGATGGACAAAGAGGCTCTCCACTGAAGCACTCAGCCTTAATACATGGAGAGGGATGGCAGAGAAAAGAGCATAACATGCTGGCTGAACAGCACTGCTCATGCTCAGCAAATCTATTCGGATTAAAAACCATAGAACTCAATGGGTCTTTTTCAAGCAAATGTTGGAAGTTTTAGTTTAGCTAAAACCTATATGCCCTCAAATTTATTTGGATATATGTATGTTTACAAGGGCCCAGTGGCTAAGTTGCTGAGCTTGTCGATCAGAAAGATCGGCAGTTCGGCTGTTCGAATACCTAGTACCCTAGAGTGAGTGAGCTCCCGTTACTTCTCCCAACTTCTGCCAACCTAGCAGTTCGAAAGCATGTAAAAATGCAAGTAGAAAAATAAGAACCACCTTTGGCGGGAAGGTAACAGCGTTCCATGCCCCTTCGGCGTTTAGTCATGCTGGCCACATGACAACGGAGACATCTTTAGACTGTGCTGGCTCTTCAGCTTTAAAATGGAGATGATCATTGCCCCTAGAGTTGGGAACAACTAGGACATATGTGCAAGGGGAATCTTTACTTTAACTATGTTTACGAGAGTAATTATTCAACCAATGCTTTGAAAAGGGGAGGGGGCTAAATTAATTTTAGAGATGGAAAAAGTGCAGAGATGATTAAAGGCCTGGAGACTAAAACAAAGGAAGAATGGTTGCAGGAAAGTGTAAGTAAACCTTTTTTTATTTTGCTTCTATTCAATCATGTTTGATATTCTCATTGGTGCCCAATGTAGTATTAGTATTCACAGTCTCTTGGTTTCTAATCTGATGTCTTAACCACTTCACCAATCTGGCTCTCTTGTCAATCTAAAGATCCGCTTTTGCAGGAAAATCGAGAAACGAGACCATAATTCTACTTACAGCTCATTACAAAACAGCAATTTTATGGTAGCGCCAACAGGTCCTGGCAGATGAAGATTTCACAGTCTTGGTTAATCCCAGGATGCTAGGAATGGACTTCAAAGCAGTTCCTGTTTACTTCACTGAAGTTTCTCCTATTCATTAATATATATTTTTTATTGGCAACTGCATACAAGAGTTTCCCACTCATCATATATTTTCGGTTAGACTAAACAGCTCATTTTATTTTATTTTTTACCTCATTCTTATTCGGTAAAATAATTCCTTTGGATCTCCTCCAAGGACTTCTCGGACATTTCTTACAACAAAGCTGCCAAGACCTGCTCGTACTACTTCAGCCTTTGCTTAATTTTGTAACTGTTTAGTTGTTTTTGAACTTCAGACATTGTGTTTGCATTCTACTACAATAGGGTTTCTTTTTTCTTTTGTAAATGAATTAACCCTCCCCCCCTCCCACACACACACACTTTCTTTGTTCCAAGCAACATATGCATATATTAGATTTCTAAGGGATCTCCCTGCAAGATCAATAACGTAATATGCAAAACCAGTACATTCATTTTCTTCTATGCCATATAACTGAAAATAGCTCTTGTTGAGGGTGGATGCTCCAAACTTGTGGGTTGGTTTTCAAACATTTGATTACCAGACTAAGTAATATCTTCAGCAGAATTTAGAGATTATCAGTGTTGTACATTCCTCTGAAGCTGTTACCTAGCCTGGTAACGAAATGTTTGACAACCAGCCCATAAACTCGGAGAACAAACCTCTACCCTCATCCTATCCTCGAGCTACAGATATTCAC